GAGGCAGCGCAGTCGGTGATTGCGCGCGCGCTGGTGGTGAACCCGCACTTGTGATGCGGACGAGCCGGTGTCGGCGCTGGACGTGTCGGTGCAGGCTCAGATACTGAACCTGATGCAGGCCCTTCAAGAAGAGCTCGGCTGACCTACTGTTCATCAGCCACGACCTGAGCGTGGTGCAGTATATCTCCACCGGTTGCGGTGATGTATGTTGGGAAGATAGTGGAGGTGGCATCGACCGAGGACCTGTTCATCAGCCTAAGCATCCGTACACGCAGGCGCTTCTTTCTCGTCTGTACCTGTGCCGAACCCGAGATTCAGTCGCAGCGGCACTGGTGGCTGGAGGGCGAGGTCGCCGACCCCGCGAAAACCCGCCGTCGGGTTGCTACTTCCATCCGCGCTGTCTTTATGTCGCCAAGGACATTTGCCGCGAACAGGAGCGGTCCGCTCGTCTCGACGTATCGCCAGGCGGTACGCAGCTGCCACTTGTCGCAGACGAAATCGAGCTTCCGCGTCCGGGGTAATCTAACGAGCCGTCACACATAAGTCAATCAGGCTCAGGACGCAGCGTACCGACTCACTTTTGTATAAAGCTATATTCGCTGATTGCTTGAAAGCTGATACTTCGGCTGTAGTGTTTATTCAGGTGGCTGGATCCTCACCTTCGTCCCGTCCTCCTCTTCAAGAGAAAAGGGCCTTGTTTTTCCATTCCATCTGAAAGGAATGCTGACTACTGATGTCCTAATAGCTAACGCCCTGTCTCATCAGTGGCTGCTGAATCGCGCGCCGTTCTATACGCATGGGTAATCGTGGGGAGATATGGCGCTGGTGCACGATGTCGCACAGTGTGTCATCAACTTCGCCGGCTGGTGTGCTGGTGGGCCCGCTGACGCGCCCAGACGCGACTTCGGCTGCAGCTTCTCGAACATCGGCTTTTCCTTCGGCTGTGTACTTCTAAGCTCAGCGATGCTCGCGCCGGTTGCGGTGGCTTGGCGACCGCTACGTCCGCGCAATATGATGGTCCTGGGCGCGGGTCCTACTGCGGCGCGCTGGTGCTGGTGGCGTTCATCAGCGCACCGTGGCATCTGTGGCTGGCTTTCGGCATATTTCGCGGCGCGGTTCAGGCGATATTCATGGTACCGCTGATGGCGGCGGTGTCGGGATGGTTCCACCGACGGCTTGGGCTTGGCACGGGCGTACTCTGGGCGGCGGGAGGCATCGGGGCCTGCGCTAATGTCACCGCTGCTGATCAATCTCGTGGAGAAGCTGCATTGGCAGAACAACCTTTATCTATATAGGCCTGGTCGCGGGCGTGTTAATCCTGCTGCTGTCGCTCGTGTTTCGCAGCAGGCCGAGCGACTTGGGCATCGCGCCCTACGGAGCGCAAGAGGGCGAGCGAACCGAAGGCGGGCTGCCGGGGCCACTGGAACGCGCGCGCGCTAAGGTATTCAATCAGCATGTTCGGCGCACCAAGGCGTTCTGGAACCTTCCCGCGATTCACGGGCTAGGCTGCGCGGGCATGGCATCGTGCTGATGTTCGTCGTGCCGTTTGCGTTGAAGGGTTGAGCTTCACGGAGCGGCAAATTCTGAGTATCTTATCCGTTGTGAGCATACCGAGCCGGATGCTGACGCGATTGATAGCGGAGAAGTACGGCACAAAGGATAATGGCGAACTGTTGATGATTCAGGGCTTGACGGTCATATGCCTGTTCTTCCAAGCGAGCAGCTGTGGCACTTCTACGCATTCGCGATGCTGTTCGGCATAGGCTTCGGCGGCGAGTGGACGGGATACCTGGTGATCAACCGGCAGTACTAAGGCAAACGGGCCCATGGGTCTCGGTTGTATGGCTGCAGATGTCCGCGCGCATTGATGGGGCATGCGTCGTGAGCTAGGGATATTGCGGGTCTGATAGTCGATCTGGACGGGTTGTCCAAACGCGGTTAGTTTGTTCGCGCTGTCGATAGTCGATCGCGGCGAGGCGTGGGCGGTGCGCTGGTGATGACCAGATGAGCCTTGAGGATACATCGAAGCGGTGAGAGAGGGACGGGAGGCGGCGGTGCCGGAGGAGGCGCGGCGGCGTGGGGTAGGCGGCTGAAGGTGGTTGTTTATAAAAAATGGTAAGAGAAATTTTGTAAAAACTTTTTTATTAAATTATTTAATTTAGTTATTTGGGTTTGTGTTTTATAAAATTGTTATTTTAAAATAAAATATGTGTATTAGTTATTAAACAATAGTAATTTAAAGTAAAATTTAATGTAAAAAGGTTGATCAATCATTCTCGGTAGGACGCGACACTGAGGACTGTGTATCATACCGGTAGGAATCGGACACCGTGTCACCGCTATTCGCGCGCGTTGCGATGAGAAGATTGGATTCAGATGAATCAAGCTCTCGTTCTAAGCGACTTAGCAGTCCACGCGGGTCAATCGCTGGAAGTTCGGCGAGGCAATCTAGTAGGATTTACTCCATCAGAATCAATAGCCAATGGCGAATCGTCTTCAGATGGACTGAATTTGGTCCCGAACAAGTTGCAATTGTGGATTACCATTGATACTATACCCATAACGTTATAGGTTATGAGTATAGGATGCTGCAAATGGACAATCCCATAACCCCCGGCGAAATCCTGCTCGAAGAATACCTGAAGCCGATGGGCATTTCGCAGAATGCCATGGCACGGGCAATTGGAGTGTCGCCGCGTGCCATCAACGAGATAGTGCATGCCCGGCGTTCCATCACGCCGACGATGTCAATTCGCTTCGGCGCGTTCTTCGGTCAGTCCGATGAGTTCTGGCACGGCATTCAGGCAGAGTGCGAATTCCGAAAGCTGGCAGCAGACAAGGATCGTCTGGTTGCCGACATTATGACGGCTTCGGCGCTGGTGCAAGACGTGGGATGACATCTGCAGAACAGCTTGGCCAAGCTCTGCCTACGTGAATGCTCTCAATTGATGAGAGCATTCTCCGTTAGTTGGGAAGGGCGGGTTCGGCTATTTCGAGGAGCTGGTTGGCGGGGATGTTGCGGATGACCTGGCGGATGCCACTGGGCCAGAAGATGGTGATTTCGTCGGCTATGTCAGCGTCGGACATGCCGAAGTGCAGGTCGAGGCTGGACATTGACAGGAAGCTGGAGCCTGCGGTTACATCGTCGGTCTGGGTGCGGCGATTGCCTGCGCCGTCGGTAGTGGTGACGAAGACTCGCGCTCCTATGGCGTCTGCATTGCTGCCGGTTCCGTCCTCGGCCATGCGTCCCTTGAGGCGCAGGATGAGCCAGTTGTTTTCGCCGCCGCCGTTGAGCCAGAGGAAGGTGGGGCCCTTCTCGAAGCCAAGCTCGTCGCCGGAGCCGGTGCCAGAGCCAATAAAAATAGGGCCTGCGCTGTTGGTGCCGATGAGGTCTATGTAGCCGTCGCGGTTGAGGTCGCCTTTAGCCAAGCCCTTGCCGTTCTCGTGGTAGGCGGTGTCGAGGCGCTGCCTTTCGCGGTCGAAGCGGGGACTGCCGGGGTCCAGCACGCCGTAGTCCACATCCTTGATGTTCAGCAATCGCGCCTCGACGGTGATGTCCTGGAGCTGCCCTTGCCGTCCGCCACGAAGCATGCGGCCTGCGGAGGGGAACCACTTGCCGTCCGGAGATTCGCCGCGTCCGAGTGCAGAGCCAGTCCAGTAGAGGTCTGGTCGCCGTCGTTTTCGAGGTCGAAGAATGCCGCGCCGAAAGCCGAAGTCGTATGCGGCAGGCCGGTGGTACGCGCCAGTCAGCCAGATCTTCACGTCGATTGATTCGCATGATGCGGCTAGGCTCGATGGGAATGATGGCGCGACATCGGGGAAGAAGCCGACCTCTCCAACGCGCGGAACGAGCATCGTACCGTCGTTACGGAGCAGGTAGTGGGCGCAGGTGGATATGGAGAATATCTGCTCGCTGGAGCAATCGCCGCTTGCGCCTTCGAACGGGAGCGGTCGCGTCTTGGGGTGGTAGCCGATATTGGTTACGAAGACATCCAGGTCAACATCGCCATCGTAGTCGCCGAGAGCGAAGCCCATCCAATTGCCGCGCTTGTCCAGACCCATGGGACGCTCGACCGCCAGAAGCTCACGCATCTTCGTCTGTGTCGTTGCGGAAAATACTGACGGGCCCGCCGTCGTCCGCGGTCCAGAGGTCGGGATCGCCGTCGTCGTCGAAATCGAAGAACAAGGTCGCCCAGGTAACGACCTGATCGCCACGCACGCCCGCATCTGCGCCTATCTCGGTGAAAGTGCCGTCGCCGTTGTTGTGGTAGAGGACATTTTCGTTGCCGCGTGTGGGCGCGCCGATGCACGGCGTCCATGTCGGAGCGGTTGGCTACGAAGATGTCCACCCAGCCGTCGCGGTCTATGTCGGCGCAGGCGGGGCTTTAGTACCGGTGCGGAAGTTGGCGTCTGCCGCCGAATGCTGAGCGGGGTGATGTCCGTTCTGAATGTGCCGTTCGCCGTTGTTGCGCATGAGGCGATCGCGACTGCCTCGCGCAAACATGTCAGTCTTTCGATGGCGTCCTGGAAGTCCTTTGCGTCGCCCGATGAGCCTGTGCGACTGAGGTAGATGTCTGATAGCCGTCGTTGTCCATTATCGCAGGCGACGACGCCAGTGCTGTGGATGCGTTGGCGGACAGCTCACTGCTTCCACGCCGACTCGGTGATGTTCCGCGGCCGTCATTGCGGAAGAGATAGGTTGGGATTGTCGCGAGACATGATGTGATGTAGAAGTCGAGATCGCGTCACGGTCGTAGTCGAAGATTGCCACGCCGGTGAGGTCGTTGGCGACTGCTGCGTTATCGCCGAGCGCCTGCTCCGCGATGTTCGTGAATGGCACTACGTCGTCCGTGCCGATACCAATGAAGCCCGGGCTGTCGGAATCGGCGAGAGCGTATGGCTTCATCTGAAGCGGGCGACGAAACGTCGCGCCACCAGTGACGACTAAGGGCTGCGCGGTCGGCGCGGGAGTGGCTGTGGGAGTAGGCGGTGGAACGGGCGCAGACAGGGCGCGCGTGGGAGCGGGCACGATGGTTCGGGGAGGCGGCGGCACGCGCTCTTCGCTGCATGCGAGCGCCAGCAGCGAGACCAGTGGCAACGAGCAGCAGGGGGAGTGGGCGTATAAGTATTGTCGGGGAGATGCTTATTGTTTTCATCCGACTATTCTAACTTACGGCAATGGGCGGGATGCAAGGATATAGTCGGGCTGTCAGTGGGCGGGCTGTCAGTGGGTAGGTGGTGCGACAGGCTCGCAACGAACGCCGGTAAGGATAGGGGCGGGTGGCGCAGAAGTTTAGCGCGAACCCAGCCTTACTGCGGCGAGGAACTCGATGGGGCCAGTGGCGGTGAATAGGAGGATGCCTCCGCCGATGCCGATTGCGATAGCCCAAGGGCCGATAACAGGACAGCCAAGGAGCGGCGGCGGACGCCCAACGGCGTGTGGGAGGCAGCATGTCGCCTAATGATTCGATCCAGGGGTCTGAGTAGGCGTGCGGATAGTTCATCCTGTTGAGTATGTCGATGAGCCAGGCGCCTATACCGTAGATTGGGCCTACGAGGAATCCGACATACAGCGCCAAGACTCCGAATGTGAATGATCTGAGGGGAGCGCGGAACACGGAGTCCAACAGGTCGTTTGCGAGCGTGCCCAGCGATGTGAAGTTTATGACATTTAAGTGTATCGCGAAGACAAGCGGGAGCGATGCGCCCGTCAGGAAGACGGTGAAGAAACCGAATGAAATGCCAATCAAGAGCCAGATGGGAAGGATGCGCGATTCTTCGGCGCGGCTGCCAATCCAGCGGATCACGGGCAATAGAAAGATGAGCGCGAATACCCCTGCGCCCACGACGGTAAATACGGCGAGGCTTCCGGTGAGGCGCTTCGGCGCTTCGGCAACGCCGGGCGAATATATAGAGCCTACAATCGCGGCAGCGCCGGCAAGCAGCAGCCCGTACAGCACGAGGCTTTGCACAAGGCGCGCCTGAAGGCGATTCACCGCCTGCTTGCGCTGCTCCAGGGTCATAGGTGATGCGGTGGTGGTGGTCATTTAGGGGACTTGCCACTAATGGGTTTTGCCGCGGTGGTTGCGGACTCCGCGTTGAGTTTCATTGCGTCCAAGTGGAATTGGCGCTCAACGTTTGAGCGAATACTTAGCCAAACGCCTAACCATGTTTTAGTTTAACGAAGGCACCTGTATGTATCAAGTTTATCTTCAGACGTTCGGGCGATAGATATAGGCGATTAGATATCAATATAGATATCAATGGGAAGCGGGCGGCTAACTTGCGGATGGGTAGGTGTAAGACTAACATGTGGACTGTCGTGGGCTAATGTGAATTGAAATATGAATCGAATGGATAGGATCGGACAGGATAAATTAAGGAGCAAGCATAATGGCGGTCGTAGAGTATGAAGTGCGGGGGCGCGTGGCATATATCACGCTCAACAGGCCGGACAAGCTGAATGCGATCGATGTGGAGATGCGGGATATGCTATGGCAGAGGCTGCACGAGGTGAACGACAATCCGGAGATATGGATGGCGGTCATCACGGGGAACGGGCGGGCGTTCTCGGTCGGGCATGACCTTGTGGCGATGTCGGGACGGAGCGATGCGCTGTATGACCCGGAGATTTCGACCGAGGACCTGTATGTATATCAGTCGGAGATATTCAAGCCGATAATCTCCGCGATAAATGGCTTCTGCCTGGCGCAGGGTGGCGGCATCGCGCTTGCGTCGGACATAAGGATAGCGTCGGACCAGGCGCAGTTCGGGTGGCCGCAGGCGAAGCGCGGCATCGGCTCGGTGAGCGGGCCGTGCATGCTGGCGCAGCTGTGCCTCTTAACTTCGCGCTGGAGTTTCTGTTCACGGGGGACATGATAAGCGCTGAGCGGGCGTACGAACTGGGTATGGTGAACATGGTCGTGCCGCACGATGAGCTTATGGAGCGGACGGATGAACTCGTGCAGAAGCTGCTGCAGAACGCGCCGCTGCCAATGCGCGCCATCAAGGAGGTCGCTGTCAGGGGCCTCAGCATGCGGCTGGAGGACAGGGTGCGGCTTGCGGGCATCGTGAACCGGCGACTGCAGCGGACTGATGACGCGCTATGAGGGAATCAAGGCGTTCCAGGAGAGGCGCACGCCGGTGTTCAGGGGGAGTTAGTTCTCGGTAGTCGGTCAGTCGATTGCAGTATCGGGTGCAACGGAGTTGTCGGCATGTCTGCACAAATGGCTGCCGATTTGACATTGATGGATCAGGATAGATAGGACAGAAAATAGGGGATATTGATGACACAAGCGAGTTCAAGTTCTAACGCAGGTTCTGTTGGACAGCCGGAGGCGCAGGCGTATCCGAATCCAGACGAGTCGGAAGGCATGTCCCGCAGCACGACGCCGGTGCTGGTGGTTACGCCACATCCGGACGATGCAGAATCGGGCGCGGGGGCGACGATAGTGAAGTGGGCGACACAGGGCCGCAAGATAGTGCTGGTGGTCTGCACGAACGGGGACAAGGGAAGCTCTGATCCGGAGATGACCTCACCGAAGCTAGCCGCCATCCGAGAAGAGGAGCAGCGCGAGGCGGCGGAGGTCTTAGGCGTGTCGGAGGTGGTGTTCCTGCGACACACGGACCAGCACCTGCAGGATACTTATGAGCTGCGGGAGCAGATTCGCGGCAGATTGTATTCACCATGCCGCTACGGTGCTGACTATCGACCCGAACCGTCCTTATATACGGCACGAGGACCACTATGTGTGCGGGCGGGTCACGCTGAACTGCGTGTTCCCATACTCGCGGGACAGGCTGGCGTTCCGGGAGCACATAGCGGAGGGGTTGGAGCCGCACAAGACGCGCGAGGTGTATATGTGGGGTTCGCAGGACCCGGATACCTATCTTGATGTTACGGACACATTCGACACGAAGCTGGACGCGCTGAGCCGACATCGCAGCCAGGTAGGGCAGGGCTGGGAGCTGCGCGAGGTTCGGGCACGAACCCGGTACGCGGAGGTCGGGAGGAAGATTGGCGTTACATACGCGGAGGCGTTCAAGCGGACGATAGAGATCGACGGGTGGGCTAATGGCAATGTGTATGGGACGGATGTAGGATAGATGGTTGCGACAGCCAGGTCGCAGTCGAGGGAGCGGAGTAGAAAGAAGCGAGAAGGGGATAAAAGTAGAGTGCGTGGTCTGGTTACTCATGCGCAGGAAAAAACGCGTTCGGACTGACGTTCGGATTACTGAGACATTCCCGAGAGGACGAGAAACCGACTACGACTGAATCATGACGGGAGCTTAATCTGGTCGTTCCTGTTCCTCGGCACTCGTTGGATAACATCGAGGATGTCCTTGGCAATCTGTATGCTGATGCGTACAGTCTTTCGTGCACATTTGCGACTGCAGAAGAAGATAGCGAGATGCGTAACAGGCTGCTTCGAGGTCATGTTCTTGTCGATATGATGTGCTCTCCAGCGGATCAATCGTATTTCATAATCCAACGAGTCGGCAGCATATCATCCGTCGGACGCGCTTCATGGCGAGCGGCGCGGACTGGTAATCGAGGTGCTGTCGCCGGGGACTGAGCGGATTGATCGCACGCTGAAGAGCGAACGCTATGAGATGTTCGATGTCAGCGAGTATTGGCAGGCGAACCCGATTGCTAGACGATATTGGTCTTGAGGGCACGGGACGGCGCGTTCGAGCGGGTGGGGTTGTTCACCGAGGGGATGACGTTGGAGACGCCGTTGCTGCCGGGCCTGCGGGTGGATGTGAGCGAGGTGTTTGATTTTTTTGTGCCGCAAGAGGGATAGCCATAGGGGTTCTGACCAACAACTAACTGAGAGACTGAGGGACAAGACATGACGATGGAAAAGTTTGAGGCGGGGCAGAAGTTCGAGCCAGGAGATTGAGGTTACGCTGGAGCATACGACGAATCGCATGGGCAAGCCGGGGGCTGATGTGCTCTCGACGCCGGCGCTGCTGGGGCTGATGGAGGGCGCTTGCATACAGCAGTCTGAGCCGTACATGGCTGTCGAGCATACGACGGTGGGCTATGCGGTGGACGGACTGCGCCATCTCGCACCGACGCCTGTGGGGAACAAGGTGGTCATCAGCGTGGAGCTGACGGAGGTTGACCGCAATCGCCTGACATATCAGATCGAGGCGCACGAGGGCGAGCAGCGCGTCGCAATGGCAACGCACAAGCGGGCGGTGATTCCCATTCAGTAGCGGGAAACCAACATCGATGGTTGCGATGGATCGGATCGGGTGGATTTGGACGCTGAACAGGCTGAACTGTACTGGAAGTGGACGCTAAGAGGAGGGGTAGGACTTTTACTGCTTCTGGCGAATGCGCTGCTGGTGTTGGTCATCGTCAACGCTTCGGATGCATTTGACGCGATGGACAGGGTTGGCGAGGCTGCGGAGTCGCTAGAGACGGCTGCCGATATGATAGATGTCCTCGCCGCCGAGCTTGGCGAAGACGCGGAGCGAGTTACAGGCACGATAGAGAGCGCTGGTGATGATGTTGAGCAGGCGAGGGAGGCGCTGGAGCGGGCGGGGGAAGACGTGACGCGCGCGACGGATGCGCTGATGATGCGCGCTCGGATTTTGAGCGAGCCGCGGACGATTTCGGACGCATTGCCGATACGCTGGAAGAGGCGTTTGCCGCGGTGATCCGGAAAATAGCATCTATGCACAGGATGGAGGGATGGTTCGAGAGGCTCGCCATGAACGGGAGGATGGATGCTTTACGGGCTGAAGGTACTGGACCTGACGCACTATGTCGCGGGGCCATACGCGACACGCCTGATGGCGGCGCAATCTGCTGAGGTCATCAAGGTGGAGCGCCCTGCGACGGGCGACGGGGCGCGACGCATAGGACCGTTTCCGGACGATGTGCCGCACCCTGAGAAGAGCGCGCTGTTCCTGTACCTGAACACGGGGAAGAAGTCTGTCACGCTAAACCTGAAGGATGGCGCGTCCAAGCCTATCCTGCGCAGTCTGCTGGAATGGGCGGACGTGCTGGTGGAAAATTTTTGTCCTGGGGTGATGTCAAGGCTTGGCTTGGATTACGGGAGCGTCTCTACCGTCAATCCGGGACTAGTGATGACTTCCGTCTCGAACTTCGGGCAGACAGGGCCTTACCGCGACTATGCGGCGCGCGAAATCAACCTGTACGCAATGGGCGGGCTGATGTACATCACGGGCGACCCGGAGCGCGAACCTCTTCACATGGCGGCGCGCCTGGCGCAGTATGGTGCGGGTCAGAACGCCTTCGCGGGGACTCTGGGAGCGCTGCTGCACCGCGATATCACCGGGATTGGGCAGCATGTGGATGTTGCTATATCGGAGTACTTGGCGACCATCCTGGAGAATGCGCTGAGCCAGTACAGCTATACGGGGAGCAACTTCCGGCGCACGGGCAATCGCGGGTACGGGCGCGCGGCGTGGGGGCCGTATCCGTGCCAAGACGGGTATGTCGGGGTGATGCGGGGCCGGACCACAAGTGGCCTGAGATGGCGGACTGATGGGCATCGCTGAGCTTGCGGAGGAGCGTTTCGATGACCGCGCGGCAGGGGCTGAAAACGCCGATGAGCTGGACTCTCTGATGCTGCCGTGGCTGATGCGGCACGATAGGCACGAGATATTCGAGCGGGCGCAGCACAGGGGGCTGGCGTTCGCGTACGTTGTCCGCACCGGAAGATATTCTGTGGTTGGGAACACTACGGGAGCGAGGGTCTTGGCAGCGTGGAACATCCCAAGGCTGGCGGTCTGGAGCATCCGATGATGCCGTGGAGGGTGGAAGACGGCGGCTGGGAGTTGGATGCCGCGCCGATGCTTGGGCAGCATAACATTGATGTGTATTGCGGGATGCTGGGGTATAGCAAGGCGGAGTTGGTGCGGATGCGGGGGATGGGGTGGTGTAGGTGACGGCTTCTAGCGGTCAGGATTCAGAGACAGGGCGAAATACCCGTGTGGTGGTGTACATAGACGGATTCAACCTGTATACGGTATGAGGTCGAGGGGATGGCGGCGGTATTACTGGCTTGGACTGAATCGGCTTGCCGATGAGACTGCTGCGACCGGGGTAAACGCTCAACTGGGCGTCAGGTATTTCACAGCGCGGGTCATACCTGATGCGGCAGCGTCGATAAGGCGCGGCGGCAGAATATCTACCTCGAGGCGCTTGGCACGCTGCCTGATCTGGATATCCACTATGGATATTACTTACCCAAGATGCAACGATGCTCCACTTGCGGCACGACCTGGCAAACCTATGAAGAGAAGATGACTGATGTGAACATTGCGGTCGAGTTGCTCTCCGACGCTTATGACGATGCGTTCGACACGGCAATCGTAATTTCCGCAGACAGCGATCTGGCTCGACCGATAACTACAATCCGCGCCCGATTTCCGGGGAAACGAGTGGTGGTCGCTTTCCCGCCGAATCGTGTATCAAAGTTACTGCGAAGCGTTGCGGCCGCATCACTCACGATAGGCCACGGAGTGCTGAGCAACAGCCAGTTTCCCGAGCGTGTTGTCACATCTGACGGCCAAGTATTGACCAGACCACGCAGATGGAGTTAGCGAATCGGGAGCAAAGAGAAACGCCTCCCAAAGGGCCCTAGGGGAGGCGTCGGGCCAGCGGAACTACCCGCTGGGGGGGTACATGAATGATAGGCAATACGGCTGTAGTTGTCAACGGATGCGAAAGATAATACACTTGTTTGATTGACTGATTACGGTGGAACAAGTCACTCGTCTCACCACATCTTACTCTTCCCATATTGAGGGGAATGGACGTTTCCAGGAGGACATACCGATGGCAGATGCCAAACCGTTTAGCTATAAGGAAACTCTTCGCGAAGAATGCGCCCGAAGGCAGAGATGCGCCGGTAATGAAGCGCGGCAAGTATGACTTCGCCGTGGCGTATCCGGACCCGAAGTCGATGCCACTTGACGGGCTTGTGGACGCTCTGAAAGAGGGCCTAGCCGAAGAGGGCGATGACCTTGCGATATACGCGAACCAGAGCGGCTACGCGCCGCTACGCCAGTTCGTGGCGGATAAGCTGGCGCGCGACAGGGACATCAACATCGGCATTGACGACCTAATCATCGGCGACGGCTCCGGCCAGCCCATCCACATGATCTGCGAGGCCCTGCTGGACCCGGGCGATGTGGTGCTGGTTGAGAACTTCGTGTACTCCGGCACGCTGGGGCAGTTGCGACGCTTCCATGCTGATATCAGAGGCGTCGAGTGCGACAACGAAGGCCTGCTGCCGGATGCTCTGGAAAGCGCAATCGTGAGGGCGACGAGCGAGGGGAAGCGCCCCAAGTTCATCTACACGATTCCGACATTCCAGAATCCGCAGGGCTGGACGATGACGCTGGAGCGGCGCAAGGAGATGGTGCGGCTGTCGCAGAAGCACGGCGTACCCATCCTGGAGGACGACTGCTATGTTGACCTGCGCTATGAGGGCGAAGATGTAACCTCGTTGCACGCTCTGGACGACACGGGGAGCGTGATGTACGCGGGGTCGTTCTCGAAGATTATCGCGCCGGGCATGCGGCTGGGCTACCTGACAGCGCCGCGCGAGGTGCTGGATGTGGCGCGTGTGGTGAAGAGCGGCGGCGCGGCGAACCAGTTCGCTTCGTGGGCGGTGCATCGCTACGCAACGGGGCATCTGGACGACCATATCGTTGAGATTAACGACATCCAGCGCACGAAGCGTGACGCGATGCTGGCGGCGCTGGGCGAGAACTTCGGCGGCGCGGCGACCTGGAGCAGGCCGGAGGGCGGGCTGTTTATCTGGCTGCAAATGCCGGAAGAGTCGGACGTTACGGCAATCCGCGACAAGGTGCTGGAGACGGCGGATGTGGGGTATCAGGCGGGACCGCTGTTCGCGCCGGACGGCGTTTCGGGCAGGAACTACGCGCGGCTGTGCTTCGGGTACAACAGCCCTGAAGAGATTCATGAGGGCATCGCAAGGCTGGCGGAAGCGTTCGAGCGCGAGGGCGTTCTGAAGAACTAGGCAAGACTAACATCGATGCAAAGGATGGGCAGAACACTTTCACTCTGCCCATCCTTTGCATTTGTGGGGGTTTAGGCATGCGTATCTGTTCTTTTCTGCCAAGCGGTACGGAGACAAGATGAGCAGCAGCATTTGTACGAATTGCGGACGCCCAATTCTAGAAGATGCCCGTTACTGCATGTATTGCGGCAGCCCAATAAGTAGGAACACTCACTTAGTTTTGGCGACCTATCGGCAGCGAGCATTGGCCAGGTTGCTGGATGCATTCCCTATACTTGCAGTGTATTCCCTGGTTGCGGCCTTTGTCGGCGCCGCCATCCTATCAATTTCATTCTTGTTGCAAGAGTTGGGATTCGGAGGTCTTGACAGTTGCTTTGAGCCTCTTGAAGAGGACTATGGTTGTGCCAGCGTTATTATCATACCGATCGTAGCGTTAGTTGCTATTGTCTGCGCGGTAGTAATGTTGGTGCTGCTGGCGATCATCATCGGTATTGTCATCGCCATAGTTGTGTTCTTGGGATTGCTTTTCTTTTCTGCTTTTGTGTTGGCTCTCAAGGGGATTTGGCTTAGGCTGTTTCCTTTCGGTCATGGGACTACCTTTGGGAAACGACGGCTGGGCATGCGGGTAATCAAGAAAAGCGGCGAGCCGGCCGGGGCGGGGCGGATGTTTGTGCGAGAAGTCGTTATTCCGTGGAACCCGGTGATCTGGGGCATAATACCGATTATTTGGCTGTGGCTGTCGTGGGATTCCTATTCATGGAGCGCCCTCGTCTATGGATTGTCGTTTCTAATCTTCTGGCTGCTGGACTTTTTATGGCCTCTGTGGGACGATAACAGACAAGCACTGCACGACAAGATTGTCGGCACACTGGTCGTAATGCCTCCTGACACTGGCCCGGGCAATCCTCCCGGGGCAGCGGGAGGGGACTCTGATCCGACCGACGCGCCGACTAACTGAATACTGACAAACTCTTATGCGTATTTGTTCTTTTTTGCCAAGCGGCACAGAGATTGTGTACGCGCTCGGGCTAGGCGACTCACTTTACGCCGTGAGCCACGAGTGCGACTATCCGGTGGCGGCGCTGGACAAGCCCAAGATCGTGCGCAGCAGGTTCGACGCGGATAAGCTGAGCAGCCAGGAGATCGATCGCGTCGTCACGGAGATGTACCAGCGGGGTGAGCGCATCTACGAGGTAGACTGAGGATGTGCTGAGCGATGCGGCGCCGGACCTGGTCATTACGCAGGAGCTTTGCGACGTGTGCGCGGTGTCGTACGAGGATGTGCGGCACGCGGCGTCGAGGCTGGCATACCCGCCGAATGTCGTTTCGCTGGATCCGACGTCAATTGGAAACATGCTTGACGACATACAGATGGTGGGCGACTTGTGTGGTGTGCCCGATGCAGCATCGGCGTTCATCGGTGAACTAAGCGCGCGGATGGATGCGGTGCGCACCAAGACGTCCGCAGCCGTGTCAGCGCCGAGGGTGGCGTGCGTCGAGTGGCTGGAGCCGCCCATCGTGGCGGGGCACTGGATACCGCAGATGGTGGAGCTTGCCGGGGGTGTTGACGCGCTTGCCAAGCCTGGGGGCGCCGTCGCGCCGCATCACGATGGATGAGCTGGCGGAGTCCGAGCCGGATGTGCTGGTGCTGATGCCTTGCGGGATGGATGCGAACAGAGCGCGCGAGGAGTTCGAGGCGCTGGAGAATCTGGAAGAGTGGCGCAGACTACCGGCGGTCGCCAATGGGCGGGCTTACTTCGTGGACTCGGGAGCGTACTTCAGTCGCAGCGGGCCGCGCCTCGTGGACGGGCTGGAGCAGATGGCGCAGATATTTCATCCAGACATGTTCACCGAGACCAATCCAGAATACACAATCTGGGATGAATAGCGCCTCGTCCAGCCTGGTGTATCTGTGGAACGTGCCCTACCTGAGGGGATGCCGCAAGTCCCGCCGGCTGTATATTGTGCCTTAGGGCAGTGCCTTGGACTTCTTCGCGGGAGCGGCCGTGCAGGTGGTCGAGATGATCTTCTTCGGTCGCATCTCAGCGGGGGCTTGTCTATCTGTATCGTGACGTGCTCGATGTCGAATTCGTCCCTGGCAATGTCGTGAATGCGGTCTCGCAACCGCCACATCTCGGCTTCGTCAATGGCCGGGTCAACGAGCACATGAGCGGTAAACGCTTCATAGTCTGAGGCTATCGTCCAGACATGAATATCGTGAATCAGCGTCACGCCTTCAATATCCTCAATGTCGCCGCAAAGTTTGTATACATCTATGTGCGCGGGCGTACTCTCCAGGAGCACCCGGAACACCCTGATTACGAGACCCCACGAACTGACAAGGATGACTATTCCGATTATCACGCTTATGTAGTGGTCGGCGGTGTCCCAGTCCAGTGTAGTAACCAGAATGCCGGAGATAATCACGCCGACGGAGGTCAGCATATCCGCAATGACATGCTGGAAAACTCCCTGGATGTTCAGGCTGTGTTGCGACGAACGATGGAGTACCCAAGCGGAGATTATGTTGACAGCGAGGCCGATAGCGCCGACGATCAACACCAAGACGCCTTCGACTTCTTCGTGCTCATGTGGCTCACCTATCGCATCAATTCGACCGAAGGCATTGTAGAAAATGAGGCCTGCGATAAGCCATAGGCTCAGAGCGTTAATCGCCGCTGCCCATAGGTGTAGGCAGTGGACGAACCCCGCCCGCTCAGCCATATAGCGAAGAGGGACATCACGATGACTGCTACATCCCTGAGCATGTGGCTGGCGTGCGCCAGGAGCGCGAGGCTGTTTGACTCGAAGAAAGCCACCACTTCTACGATCATGTAGGTGACTGTCAAAACCAGAACGATGATCAGGCTACGCCTGCTTGTCCCTCACAGGTCATGGTCGTCGTGTGCGTGTCCCTCGTGTCTATGAGCCATTATCCAAGTCCCGAAGTTGTGGATACGCGTCCGCAGTGTACGATACGGATGAAAGGATAATGAACACGTCCATTAGCGCAAACTCGAAAATATGCGCAGACCGATGCGGCGAGATTGATGGGTGCAGGTAAGAATTATTGGCGGCTGAATCTGTCGCGCATCTCGACGGCAACGCGCTGGCGAAGCTGGTCAATGTCGCGGCGCAGCACTTCCGCCTCCGATTCGAGTCGAGAGGCGACGCTGGGCTGTTCGAGTAACTGCTGCTTTTCGGACAGGTCGATGAGCAGCGTCTCGGCAATGTAGTAGGACAGCACCGCAGGGTCGCGCGATGTGCGGACTTCGCTTGTCCAGCCGCCCTGAAGCCCCGTAATCAGCCTGAGATATTCGTTCAGCAGTTGTCGGATGTCTTCGGACTGAGGTCGAGCTTCCTCCGCATCGTCGTCAGGCAGCACAGATACGTCAGCCGTGATATAGGGACGGTGCTGCGTGATGGTGTTGATTTTGAAGCGTCGCTCTCCCGTAATGGCGACGAAGAAACGGTCGCCCCGAATCTCGTTGACCTGCGTGATATGCGCGACGGTGCCGACGGGATGCGGAATAGCTGGCTGCCCGACTTCATCGCCAGACTTGATGAGCACGATGCCAAAGCGCGAGTCGGAGTCGAGGCAGTCTTGCAACAGGCGCTTGTAGCGCTCCTCGAATATCTGGAGAGGTCAAAGAAGCGCCCGGAAACAGCACCGTGTTCAGGAGAAATAGGGGCAGTGTGCGTCGTTCTGGCAGTTCAGGTGGCATGGCGTAGAGTATAAACGGAACAAGGACAAGGGACAAGGGCGAGCAAAGGCGACGGGCGTCCTGCCAGACAGGGCGCGAGCGCTGTTTGACATGCTGACTTGCGCGTTGCTACCATGAGGATTGGCGCGCGCATGAGCGCTACTACGAGACGGAGAATACCTGCCTTGTCTTATGTAAAGAGCCTGCGCTGTCGCGAGTGCGGCAGCGATTACCCCATCGAGCCGCAGTATGTCTGCGACTTCTGCTTTGGGCCGCTTGAGGTGAGCTACGACTATGACGCGATCGCGCGTGTCATCAGCCGCGAGCGCATCACCAAGGGACCTTTGACCATGTGGCGCTACCACGATCTGCTGCCGGTTGACGCGGAGATGGCTCTGGACATGCACACCGGCTTCACGCCGCTCATCCGTGCCAACAACCTGGGCAGGCTGCTGGGGCTGAACAACCTGTACATCAAGAACGACAGCGTGAACCCGACCTTTTCGTTCAAGGATCGGGTGGTGTCGGTCGCTTCGGCTAAGGCGCTTGAGTTCGAGTTCGACACGCTGGCGTGCGCCTCGACGGGCAATCTCGCCGGCTCGGTGTCGGCGCACGGCGCGAAGGCTGGAATGCCCACGATGGTGTTCTTCCCGTCGGACCTGGAGCGGGGCAAGATTCTGGGCGCGGGCATCTACGGCGCTACCCTAGTGGCGGTGGACGGCACATACGACCAGGTGAACCGTCTTTGCAGCGAGCTTGCGGACAACCATCGCTGGGCGTTCGTGAACATCAACATGCGCCCGTTCTACTCTGAGGGGAGCAAAACGCTGGCATACGAGGTAGCGGAGCAGCTGGGATGGCGCGCGCCGGATGCATGCGTAGTGCCGGGAGCGTCGGGTTCGCTCTTCACGAAGATATATAAGGGCCTGAACGAGCTTGCGGACCTGGGGCTGATAGATTCTGCGGCGCATACAAAGATGCACATCGCGCAGGCCGAGGGCTGCTCGCCGATTGTGACTGCATACGACGAGGATACGCCGCATGTGCGCCCGGTCACGCCGGATACCGTCGCAAAGTCGCTCGCCATTGGCAACCCCGCGGACGGCTTCTACTCTCTCAAGACGATCGAGAACAGCGGTGGCAGTGCAGTCTCGGCGCCGGAGGACGAGATTGTTGAAGGCATTCAGATTCTTGCCGAGACTGAAGGCATCTTCACGGAGACGGCAGGCGGAGTGGTGATTTCAGGGCTGCGCAAGCTGGTGCAGAGCGGCAAGATTCAGCCGGACGACCTGACGGTGGCGTACATCACCGGCAACGGTCTGAAGACGCAAGAGGTGGTCGAGCCTCTCATCAATCCGGTGTTCACCACGCCCGCATACGATGACTTCATGAACAACATGGCGGCGCGGGAAGAAAGAAATGGTAAGAGTAATGGCTAAGAGACGTGTCAGGTTCACCTTCCCCGAGCAGCTGATAACCGAGCCACTGATATACAACCTTGGTCGTAAGTTCGAGATCATCACGAACATCCGCCGCGCCAATGTGCAGGAGCGTGTGGGCTGGGTGGTGCTGGAACTCGAAGGCGACGAGGATGAGATAGATCGCGGCCTGGAATGGATGACCGAGGCGGGCGTTCGGGTCGATCCGATTACCGGCGACCTGATCGAGGGGTAAGGCAGACCCCGAAAGCCAGGTTTCTTGTCTCTTCCATCTTTTCGTTATCTTTTGTTCGTTATCTTTCCCTGCCATAGGCATGCAACCGACTTGAATCGAAACAATACTTCGGAGGAAAACTCGACATGAGCATATCGGTGAGGATCCCAACACCCTTGCGGCGCGTGACTGACGGCGCGGACAAGGTGGATGCGGACGGCGCGACTCTGGAAGAGCTTATCGGCTCGCTGGAGAGCCAGTATCCCGGAATCAAGGCGCGGCTGTGCGACGAAGAGGGTGCGCTTCGCAACTTCGTGAATGTGTACGTGAACGGCGAGGATGTGCGCTTCCTCGACGGCCTCGGCACCGCCACGAAGACCGGCGATGAGGTTAGCATCGTGCCGGCGGTCGCAGGCGGGAACTAGCATCGATATACAGGATTGGGGGGTATCTACCCATCCCCATCCTTTCGGCAAGTTCTTCAGGACAAGGCCTAACCTTTCCTCTTTAGTGGAGAAATGGGCGGCTTCTTTCATCTTCACCTTTTCTCCATGGGTGAGGATATTTTATGCTCGCCCGAATGAGGCGAGCCATTTTTGCTTCTGGTCTCGGCGGGTTTGCTCGTCGGGCGGAGTGAAGCGACTGTGGAACTCGCGGCGGTATTCGGCGAACTCGCCGGCGGCTATCGCGGCGCGCATCTCTTCCATGAGGCGCAGGATGAAGCGCAGGTTGTGTATCGTCGCCAGCCGATATGCAAGAAGCTCCTTCGCACGAAAGAGGTGATGCACATACGCTGCCGAGAATGTGCGGCAGGTGTAACAGTCGCAGTCTTCTTCGATGGGCGCGTATTTCCTCTTATTGAACGCCGCGGTGATATTCAGTCGTCCTGTCTTCACGAACAGCGAGCCGTTGCGCGCTATGCGCGTGGGCAGCACGCAGTCGAACATATCTATACCACGCGCCACGCATTCCACCAGGTCTTCCGGCGAGCCTACACCCATCAGGGTGAGAGCGCAGGCAGATCAGACAGCAGCATCGGCGTTGTGAGTTCACGGTGTCGTACATTGCTTGCTTGGGCTCGCCGACACTCAGCCCGCCAATGGAATAGCCGGGGAAGCCTACGCCGGTGATGAACTCCGCGGACTTGCGCCGCAGTTCGGGGAACAGCCCGCCCTGCACGATGCCGAAGAGCCGCTGGTCTGTGCGGGTGTGCGCCTCGACGCAGCGCAGCAGCCAGCGGTTCGTCTTATCCACCGCCGAGTCCACCGCATCAAAGTCGCTGTCGGCAGGCGCGCATATATCGAGGGGCATGATGATGTCCGCGCCGATCTTCTCCTGATGCTGAATCGCCGCTTCCGGGCTGAAGGTGTGCTCGCTGCCGTCAATGTGCGACCTGAAGATGATGGCGTCTTCCGTGATCTTACGCAGGTGCTCAAGGCTGAAGCCCTGAAAGCCACCGCTGTCGGTGAGGGTCGCGCCGTGCCATTGCATGAAGCCGTGCAGCCCGCCGAGGTCTTCCACGATGTCCACACCGGGGCGCAGGTATAGGTGGTAGGTGTTGGCAAGAACGATGTTCGCGCCGATGTTTTGCAGGTCTGAGGAGTCGAGCGCCTTGACCGAGCCTTGCGTCGCGACGGACATGAAGGCGGGCGTGGGCACATCGCCGTGCGGTGTATGCAGTGTACCTATGCGGGCGTCGCCGTCGGTGGCAGTGAGCGTGAAGAAGGGCATACGAGTATTTTACAGGTATGCCTCTACGAGCGCATCTCCTGTTCGACTCTTTCTGCCAGATAGATTTTGAGCAGCGACTCATAGGGAATATCTCGTTTGTGCGCCAGCACTTTCAAGTCATCTATCACCGACTGCGGCAAAGTGATGGATACAGTCTTATCTGGAGGGCTGGAACTGGACGGCTTGAGATTGGGCATTCCCACTCGCTTCGCCTCGCTCCAGTCAATGTAGTCGGTGGAGTCATGGGTTGCCCAGAACTCGCGCTCTTCGTCTTCGGACTCAAATTTGGGGATCTGTTTCCTTAGCGTCGTCATAATTGCTACGTTCCTGTCTGCTCATGTCTCTGGCAGAAATAATGCGGATCAATTCTCGGCGAAAGGTAAACACCACGAAAAGCCTACGGTCTTCGTCAGCTTGCCCTACGCATAATATCTCAACTCGCCCTAAATCTGCGACTCCGGTTCAGCAATGACAAACGGACTATTAGAGAAAATCTGCTCTGCTTCGGCGTTTGTAACACCATGCCTTAACCAATTCTTCTCGTAGTTGCCACCATCCCACTGGAAACCTCTAGGCTCACCAAAGTCATTCATGCCAAATACCGGATGCACAGCATATCGTCATGATACACAATTCTTACGGACTGGATATGGCAACGTAATTGTTAGCCGAGGAAGCCTGTATCATAAGCTGGACGCCCATGGCGAGGATGACGAACATGAGGAGGCGCATTATCCAGGGACCTTGCACCTTGCCGGAGAGTCGGGCACCGATCTGACCGCCGGTTACGAGGCCTATCCCCGCGAATATGAATGTCGGGAACCACTCGATGTTGCCAATGAAGGCGTGAGTTGCAGCGCCCGCGGTGGTGTAGAAGGAGAGCGCGAAAATGGATGTGGCGACCGCGACCTGCACAGGGAATCCGAAGGCATATACGAGGATGGGGGTGCGGAGGAAGCCGCCGCCAACGCCGAAGAAGCTGGATATGAAACCGAGTACGAAGTTGATGAGGACGGCCCACCTTTCGTTCAGACGGTAGCGGTAGGTCTCGCCGGATTCTGCCGTAATGCGGCGGCGGTGGAGAGTCTGAGGATTGATGAAGCTACGTCGCCGACTTCTGGCACGACCAAGCCGCGATTGCCGCCCCGAGTCGAACTGCTGGGTTGCTATTCGCACCGCCAAGATGACAAGCAGCAGCCCGAACATGGCATCGAAGACGCCGGGCAGCCCTTCGAGCGCTTTCTTGAGCACGAACGGGGCGATTACGGAGCCGGGAATTGCGGCGGCGGCAAAGAGGTATGCGCTCGCTTGTCCACGACGCGCATGTAGCGGTAGGCGAAGGCGCCGGATATGCTGTTTGCGGCGACGAGCGCAAGTACCGTTCCCGCGACTATGGCGGGGTCCTTATCGAAGAAGATACGCAGGATGGGGACGAGGATGAAGCCGCCACCCGCGCCGACAAGGACGCCGAAGACGCCGGTTACGAACCCGACTAGGGCAAGGGTAATCCACTGGACTGCCTGCTGCCAACCGACAGCAGGCAGCCATTCAATTCCGGAGCCGGTGAGCCAATCCAGCCCTGGCATTTAATCCACCGGGGCATTAGAGACGCCATTCTTAAAGCGCATCGCCTCCAACACCCTCCATTCGAACATATCTGGTTTGTGTTCATCCGGTGAGCTATTGGTTCGCCGCCACGACTATTGCGCCGCCACCGTACCCATCATGCTCATTTCCGGATAAAGCGTGATCATCTTAAAGCTGAACACTCCAACCCAGTCGGCAGTGTAACCATGCGACACCGCTACGCGGGTTAGCTTCGGGTTAGGCTTGGCCCTTGTTACTAGGCCGTTGACGGCGTTGCTGAGTTGGAAAATGTCAACATCGCTGACCGTATAGGGGATCGCGTAGCTTGCGCGAACGCCGTTGACATAGACTTGTGCCTGAGTTCGCTTGGGAACCAGAGACCTCGAAGTACCAGTGCCCACAGTCTCAGTGTAATGTTTCTGATGCGCTAGGGGTAATAATACGCTGAAAGAGCCGACTGCGTTCGTCCTAGCCTTTCCAATGACGCATGATTCGTCAAGCGTGAGTATAACCTCGGCGTCCGCCGCCCAAGTCTGGGCACCTTCTATGCGAACACCTCTTGCGCCGATCCTCTGGCACATCGGGAGATCCGCAGGTGAAAATTCTGCTTGCGCCAGCAAAGAAGGCTCGTCAACGGCAGTCCCCGCATCGGTGGAAGCAGTTACTATGCGCGCGGCTATCAGTGATGCCGACAGTGCGACAACTATCAATACGGCAATCCAAGCAACATTGTTTATCCTCATTCCAAAGCTCCTCTCGCATCTCGGCTATTGCTCCGCCAAGCACTTGTTTACAATGCCACAGCAGTCAATAATATTAGACAGTTCCCTGCTAACGCATAGCACAAATGCTTGAATAATGGGCATAGGATAACAATTGCTGCTTGGAAATGCCATAGTTGTGCTACGGCTCGTCGCGGGAGAGGCGTTCAAGTGTGCTATGGACGAGTTCAGGCGGCACATCGTTGCGCGTAGTTGCGTTGCCGATTCCATCAAGGAGCACCCAGCGAATGGCGCGGCCTGCCACCTTCTTGTCAGACAGCATTGCGTTGCTTACGGCGGCGATGTCCATCTCGCCACAGGTTAGCGGCAAGCCATAGCTTTCCAGCAGGGAGCGCTGCCGCTCCACCTCGTCCGAGGACATCATGCCCATCGCCTCGCCGATGCGCGCCGCGCCCATCATGCCCACGCTGACGGCCTCGCCGTGCAGGAAACTGCCGTAGCCAGTGGCAGCCTCGATTGCGTGCCCGATGGTGTGACCGTAGTTCAGCAGGATGCGTATGCCGAGCGTCTCGCGCTCGTCCTGCGAGACGATGTTCGCTTGATAGCCACGCTGCGGCGAATGATGTCCGTAGCGATGTCCTGTTCCAGGGCGAGGAGTGACGGCCTGTGCGTCTCGAAGGCCTCCAGCAGTTCGCGGTCGAGAATCAAGCCGTGCTTGATAGCCTCAGCCCAGCCGGATCGCAAGCTCGCGCGGGGGCAGCGTCTGAAGTGTGCTGACATCGGAGAGTACGAATTTCGGCTGATAGAACGCGCCCACGAGGTTCTTGCCCTGCGGCAGGTCAACGGCGCACTTGCCGCCGATGGCAGCGTCCATCATGGCAAGCAGGCTTGTGGGCACTTGCGCGAAGGGCAGGCCGCGCAGGTAGGTCGCAGCCACGAAGCCCGCAAGATCGCCCACGACGCCACCGCCGACCGCCACGATCAGATGGCCGCGCTCCGCCTTGCGCTCCGCGAGCCAGCGATATATGAACTGCACCGTCTCCAGCGTCTTGTGCGTCTCGCCGGCGGGCATGATGAACATGTGCGCGGCTATACCGGCGGCTTCAAGCGAGAACTGCGCGCCCGGGCCTGCCTATGCACACCCTCGTCTGTGATGATGTACGCAGTGGAGATGTCGAGAACGGAATTGACGCGCTCGCCAAGCTCGTCGATTATGTTCCAGCCCACCCATATCGGGTAGTCGCCCTGGGATGTGTTGACGATGGCGGCGAGATCGGAGTAGGAAGGCATATCAGTCTTTCAGTTGGTCAGGGTTTCAGGGGCGCGGTTGACATAGATGGACACTATGGAAAGGATATGGATTCCTGCAGCAGCAGGAACGACGCTCTGTTAGCCGGTTGGCTGTTTGTCCTCATCTTCTAGTTGATTTGCTCTGTCGCGCATCCAATCAGGATAGGCTTTCCAGCATATCCCTTCCTCGTCGTCGTTGAGTATGTCGAACGCGCGGACGACTTCGTGCGCCGCCTGCTCGGGCGACAGTATGTCGGTGTGAACTGTCCAGTGAGCAAGAGTATAGTTCAGTTGGCGCTGGGACTTCAAGAAACGGATGCGGTCCAGGGGGTCGTCTGCGGCGAGCATGGGGCGCACGATAGCATCGTCGCCTGTGCTCTGCGCGAGTACGCGCTCGTATATGGTCTCCGGCGAGGCTTCGAGACAGACGACAGCGCCGTGCTGCATCATGGCGGTGCGATTATCGGCGCTCTCTGCGATACCGCCGCCCGTGGACACGACCTGCCGCTCGGACTTGCAGGCGGCGAGCAGCGTCTGCGCTTCGAGCGCGCGGAAGTGCGGCTCCCCATGCTCAGCGAAGATCGCGTCGATGGACTTGCCAGCGTCCGCCTCGATGCACTCGTCGAGGTCAACGAAGCGCCAGCCGAGTATGCGCGCCGCCTCGCGCCCGATAGTGGTCTTGCCGGTGCCGGAGAAGCCTGTGAGGAAGATGTTGGGGGTCATTGACTCTTATGTCTAATCCATTTTCAGGAGGGCGACGTTGGCGGCGGCGAACATGGTGTCTATGGGGGCTTCTCTGCCGGTCCACATCTCAAAGGCGGAGGCGCCCTGGTAGATTAGCATGGGCAAGCCGCCGAGCGCGGTCGCGCCTGCGCTGCGAGCTCCGAAGAGGAACGGGGTGTTCTGCGGGTTATAGACCATGTCCATGACCACGGCCTCGTGGGAGATTATCCCGCCGGAGAGCGGTGTCTGCCCTTCGGTGTCTCCGTGTCGCGTTCCTACGGAAGTACAGTTGACGATGAGGTCGGATTCGAGCGCGACAGTCTCCAGAGTCGTATTGTCCAGGACAGCGGCGAATACGCTCACAGCATCGTTGTGCAGCGCATTGGCAAGTGCCTCGGCGCGTGAAACATTTCGGTTGGCTATTGTGATGGACGCTACGCCTTCACGGCAGAGGGCGAATGCAGCAGCGCGCGCGGCGCCGCCCGCTCCTAGCAGCAACACACGCTTGCCCGTAGGCTCGAAACCACCGTCCTCTTTTAGCTCACGCATGAATCCGTGGGCGTCGGTGTTGTGTCCGACGAGGCGTCCGGCGCTCTTGACAATGGTGTTCACCGCGCCGATGGACTGCGCAAGCGGGTCAACCTCGTCAAGCAAGGCGATGACGCTCTCCTTGTGCGGGATGGTCACATTCGCGCCGATGAAGTCGCCGCTGCGGAGCTTCGCCACCTCGTCCCGCAAGTCCCTCCGGCGGCGTCTCCCACGCGAGGTAGCGCACATCTAGTCCGTGGTGGTTGAATGCTGCCTGCTGGAACGCCGGCGACAACGAATGCGATAGCGGATAGCCGAATATGCCTGCTAGTTGTGTCATGGCGTGCCTCCGGGTGTGTCAGGTTATGAGTCGTGAACGATCTATTATTGGTTGTCAGTATATCAGTATGCCTAGGAAGCGGTCATTATGGTGCCGAGTGAGGTCTGTCGGAGCGCACAATGTTCACTATCACGCCTTCATCAGCATTGACCCAACCTGTGCGGTCTGCTTACGATTACGCTGAGATTTACGGCGGACGATGCCAGAAGTTGGAGTTGGCTATGACGGAATACGAGGAGATCGTACAGCGGATTGCCGTATGCACCCTTTGCGCGCTCTCGGAGGGACGCACCCGCACGGTGCCGGGAGACGGCTCCGCGACTGCGGACATTATGTTCATCGGCGAGGCTCCGGGGTCACAACGAGGACCAGCAAGGACTTCCCTTCGTCGGCGCGGCGGGCAATGTGCTGACAAACTTGCTTTCGGGGATCGGTCTGCGGCGCTCGGATGTGTACATTACGAATATGGTGAAGTGCCGCCCGAACAACAACCGAGATCCGCTGAGCGGCGAGATCGAGGCGTGCTCCACTTACCTGGACGCACAGATAGATCTTATCGACCCGAAGGTCATAGTCACGCTGGGACGCTACTCGTTCGGCAAGTTCTTTCCGGGGCGCAGCATCAGCCGCGAGCGGGGCAAGCCTCGCTTATGGCGCGGGCGTATGATCTATCCGATGTATCATCCCGCCGCTACGCTGCACAACCCGCGCTTGCGCCCGGCGTTGGAGAACGACTTCCGCAATCTGCTGCCGCTTGTTCAAGAGGTTCTCGCAATGCCTCCGGATGACACTGCGAGCGAAGATGATGGACCCTCCGAACAGCAGTTGAGCATGTTCTAGTGGGGATAAGAGAGGTGGACTGGATGGGGAGGATAGGACTGCTTGGCATTGCCATGCTTACCTTGGTGATTGTCATGGGTTGCGGCGCTTCAGAGCCGCCGCTGCCGTCCGTGCCTCTGCCCATCCCATCTGTGGCGAGGGCTGCTCCGAGCGCGACCCCGGCTGCGACTACGACTGCACCTGCAGGCACACCCATACCGACTGCGCTGACCTCGACAGCCGAGGGTGTTACGCTGACCATAATCGTAGCTCCGACTTCACCGGACAGGCCCGAGTACGACCGCGGCGACTGGCGGCACTGGATCGACGCGGACAGGGACTGCCAGGACGCGCGGCAGGAGGTTCTCATCGCTGAGTCACTAAGTGGAGTCGCGTATGAGGCAAGGGACACATGCCGAGTCGAGAGTGGAGACTGGTTTGGTGTGTACACGGGCGAGTCGTTTACCGATCCTGGCGACCTCGATGTTGACCACATGGTGCCGCTAGCGAACGCGCACAGGTCGGGCGGCTGGGCCTGGATGAAGGAGCGCAAGGCGGATTACGCCAACGACCTGTCATATGAGAACCACCTCATCGCGGTTCAGGCATCTGCGAACCGGCAGAAGGGCAGCAAGGGACCGGAGGAGTGGCGCCCGTCACGCCGCGAATACTGGTGCCAGTACGCAACCGACTGGGCAACCATCAAGCAGGACTGGGGATTGACTGCGACTCAGCCTGAAGCAGACGCCTTGCGGGAGATGCTTGAGACCTGCGATGAGCCGATAACCCTCGTGGGCAGTTCTGCAGATGGCGCCCCGGCGCTTATGCCTGCCCCGCCGACGGCGGCGGCGATTCCGTCATCCGATGGTTCGCTGCGCTACGATCCGAATGGACCCGACCGTGACTGCGGTGACTTCGACACATGGGATGAGGCGCAGGCTTTCTACATCGCGGCGGGCGGACCGGAAACTGACAGGCATCGTCTCGACGGGAACCAGGACGGGGTTGCGTGCAATTCGCTAAGGTAACGACAGGTTTAGAACTGACTGGATTTGCTTACTGACTGCGGCGCAGTCGCTCCAGTTCTGCCTGAAGTTCCTGGGTTCGCGCCTCTGTCGCCAGGCGAGCTTCTCGCTCTTTCAACTGCGCCTGTTCAGCCGACTGCGCTCGCGCTTCCGCAGCCTGACGAGCAGACTCGGTTTGCGCGTGCGCGGCAACTTCCTCGCCCAAGTCACCCAGCCATTCGCCCGTAGCGCTGTCACGCAGTGGGAAAATGCTTACACCATCCTCCACCCTATGGTAGAAGTCCACTCCCAGAACTTCGCTGCGGGACCATGTATCGCCGTTGGGCTCGGTGTGCAGCTCGTATCGTGCGTACTCGCCATTCACCAGACGCTCACCCACCAGCGGCTCGCCGTAGTAGCCGTGCTTGTCCAGCCGCCAGTATTCCGTCACGCCTATCTGCGCGTATAGCGCCCGCTTCTCGGTTAAGTCCCTGCGCGCCGTGCTTTCGGAAGCTACTTCGAGAACAAAAGCCGGCGGCACTCCCCATTCGTCTAGGCGGTAACTGCGGCGGTATGTCTCTATCGTGTCCGTGTCCACGCCGAAGACAATATAGCCATCAGGCACGATGACCGAGCCGGGCACGGCGGAGTCGTAGATGACATTGGTCTGTTCGGACACCAGCACCATTCGGTCATTCTTATAGCGAGCCATTAGTATGGACATTACATAGAGAATCGTGCCGGCTTGCTGCATCGCGTCCTCGGGTGGCTCCGGGGCGTCGTCGATGAGCTCGTACCAGGGCATATCGGCGGCGGCCGTAGAGGACAGGGCACGCGATTTGCTTCTGGCAGTCGTCATGGTCAAACCTCTGGCGGGCTGGTTCGAATTGGCATAATTGTAACACAGGGGCGAGTCGAGCCGATTGAACCGCCCGGCGGAACTCCTTTGATGTATGGGATTAGCAACTCTTGCCAGACATGATAACATCCGCGAAGACTCATTTATGCAAACGAGAGGTGAACGGCATGACAGGCGCAGACCTGATAGCACGAATACTGAAGCAAGAGGGCGTGGACTTCATGGGAGTCATCCCCTTCAACTCGCTGGAAGAGGCGGCGGCGAAGGCGGGAATACGGCCACTGATATTCCGTCAGGAGCGCGTGGGCGTGAACATGGCGGAAGAATAAAACACGCGCTACACCACGGTCGGGCACTGGAGTCTTATACATTCAAGATCGCGGCCGGGAGGGAAAACAGCCTAGCAGGCGTAAGCAGGATATACCGACCGGCTGCCCCGATATCGCTGCTGCCGGCGTCCCGCCCGCGCCAACCGCCCGGGTCATCCGACAATCAGCCCCAGCAGCACCTACGAGCGGTGTTGAAGAATGGTCTGGGCAAATTGACTTTGAGGAGGAATCATATTCCGAGCGCTGAGGCGCGCTTCATCAGTTGACGATTGCCCGGCCGCACCAGCCACAGTGCTGCTTGATCTGCCAAGCGACAATAATGATCGGAGAGATTGCCAACGGAGACGCGACGTAAACATTCCAGTCCGACAGCGGACGTTTTTTTGACTTGTTACCAAGGGTGGTAAGGAAAACACAGGGGGTTTGGTCTTGTTAGTGGACATTAAGTACAGTCCATTTTTTTTTTTGTTTTCATTTTTCTTTTTGGGGGGGGGGAGGGGGAGGGGGGGGAGGAGAAAGGGGGGGGGAGAGCGGCCGGGGGGGGGGGAGGGGAGGAGAGGGGGGGGGGGGCAATGGGGGGGCGGGAGGCCGGGGGGGGGGGGGGGGGTGGGGGGGGGGAAGGGGGGGGGGAGGGGGACGGACAAGGGGAGGGGCGGGGGGAGGGATGAGGGGGGGGGCAAATTTAAGGAAGGGGAAAGTTGAAGGGTCGGGGGGGGGGAAGGGAGAGGAAATAGGGAGAGGGGGCGGGGGGGGGGGCAGGGGGGGGGGGGGGGAGGGGGGGGGGGGACAAGAAACCGGAAGCGGGAGACCCGCAGGATGTGAGTCGGATGCGCGAAGATTTCTGCTCGGCGCAAAGAACCGGTTAACAAGCCGGGCAGGGCGTGCGGACGCTGAGGCATGGGACGAACTGCAAGAAGCTTGCAGAGGCTGACGCAGACGAACGGTGATTGACCGCGATGGGCCGGGAAGAGCGCTTACGCGACGGGACATACCGCTATCGTTGGGCACGCGCCAAGCCACACACCTACGAGGCATGGTCGTGCATTTCCTCGAGCAAGAAGCAGGATGGCGGGTAGGGAGGGGAAGGTAAGCGTCTACGAGAATTGGAAAAGAGGGAGAACGACAAAGGGGGTGGGTCATTAAGAAGGTGATGGTGGAACTCCTGTGACCAACGACGAGGAACCCGATGACTTCCCACCCACCCTCGTGAACAAGGAATAACCTCCGACTGTGGCGGTCATCCGGCGATTGCCAAGCTGGTAATAATGAGGCAGCTCATCGAAGAGGTCAAGGCGATTTTGCATGCTGAGAATGGGCCAGCGAGCGAGTCGGAAAAGACGCGGCGATTTTTTTTTTGCTGTAGGCAGCGAAATCAAGGGCGGTGCGCGACGAATGGAGCGA